GGTGATCATTGGCAACAAGTGGAATGATGGGCTCGTTTCTCTGAATTCTATGCAAAACTCTAAGTATTAGTGCATTTTATTTATCCCTTTAATCTTTAAAATCGTAAAGTCATTTAATACAGTGAACATTTCTAGAAGTCTCGTTGGGCTTTACTAATTTGTTCTTCTTGATCTTGGAGATCATAGGTCCCTTCTGTGCTATTAGGTATTATAGTTTTATTTCCTCTTCACTTCAGCGCACCCTTTGCTTGGCCTTCGGGCTGTGATCAAAGTGAAGTATCTCTCACCTTTCGTTTCTTCCGAAAAAAAAAAAAGCTTTGAGCTAGGCCTAGTCCTGAGCATTCCAATCATGCGCTAGCACCATCTTCATTGCAATAAAAAAAAGGGAGTGTCAGTGGATACCGACGCCAGTATAACAATGGTCGTAAGGACCGAGCAGATTTTGGATTGTTCGATGGCAACCCCACATTAAAAGCGACTTTGTGTCACATCTTTCCACCCTTGGAAGTTGAGTAAATAACACCGGCCTTCGGACATGGATCAAAGTGTAGTATCTGTTCTACATCTCTCTGCTGTGTTTTTGTCTCTGGGGATTTAATCGAAAAGCTTGATGCCGGCGATTGCCACCCCTTGGCAGCACCTTCGTCATTGTATGGGGGCTTATTGGATACCAACACCAAGCGTGAAAGGGGTCGGGGAGAGTGGGAAAATTATGTCCTTGACCCATATGTCCCATCTCGTCACCGTGGGGAGGTGAGAAAGTTTTATTTTCTCTGTTACAGACGAATTCTCCTTGTATACTCGTTCCACCACTGTAAAACCGCCCTTTTGAATTAGAAAAGAACGTGTTTTCTCTTCTGCTATTTTCTTGATTTTGTGCATGCACCTGATCTGGTACTCCTGCTATATATTTACAGATTCTTAATAAAATAGGAAGAATCGGCAACGTTATTGGTCTTGACCTTGCATCTCGGCTTCAGTCACCCTCCCACCGTCGTAACATATCTTTCCTGTGTCTTTTCTATAAATACTTCCAGTGTGATTGTTCTGATGAGTCTTCCTCTTTTTTACCTAGACTTTACGAATTTAAACGCAGATATTAGTGGCAAGGTCTCCTCGTTTTACATTTGAAATGGCTAGATTTTTCTAGAACACTTCTCGCTTGTGGAACTCTCTTCCGGCTCCTTGCTTCCCAGTCAACTTCAAAAATTTAAATGCAATGTCAATCGTTATCTTCTGTCTTAATTCTTGTACTTTTATTATTCTCCTTAATAGTATTTTTCTCATTCTCTAACACTCAGTAACCCCTTGCGTCCTAGTCATTCTATTTACCTAAATGATAAAAGAAAATGCCTGCTGCGTATGTGTCCATCAGCTTTCCATTTCCTACTTATACATTTCGCATTAGACTGCTATATGTAATCTGCACCACTTCCGGCGTTATCTGCTGTTTCTCCTTCATTAGGTCGTAAATTCCACGTGTCATTAAACTCTTTCTGTCTTGACTTTTAAATACTCCGGCTGACTTCGTTTGCTGTTACCATTAGTGCTTCTTTTAGATTGTTTCATTTTAAATTTCTCGATATGTTCTAAAGCTTTATATTTATTAACTGTGGCTGCTAAAGTGTATTTGCAAATATAATTTAATAAGTGAAAAATAGGAAGATTTCTGTCGTCGGCATTTTACACCCAATTGTAGTTCGCATAATAAATGCATTGATATTTTCTATCCAATAAGAATCTTGATTAACAAACACCATAGCTTTTTTTGTTCTTTGGAAGGGGATCTGGCGAATTATTTAAAATAGCCTCGATCCATTTTAGTAATCCGTATATTTCAGTGAGCCTTTGTGATTGGCGAATTATTCTCGATATTTCAACCTCTCTTCCACAGGCGGGATGTGTTATGTCTCTCGCTGTTCTACCGCTAGTACCAGGGTAAGTGCTCGGACGAACTACCTCCCCTGGTCCCACCGTGGCAAACCTTCACAGCAAAAACACGCCATGCCACTTGCATAGTAGCAAACCACCCACATTCCCTACGTATTCCATCGGTGAAAACTAAGTTCCACTCGAACATCTTCTTCCCGCGAACTACTGCCCAGTGGAACAGACGCCCAAGCGTATGTTTCTCTGATCACTACAATCTCAACGGTTAATCCCAGACTTGAACAGGTTATCATCTACTCCTATACACACAAATGGCCCCCAAATGTAACCCACTACCTTGAGTGGCCTCGGGCCTTGTAAAAGTTAAACCTTGCTGTAAAAAAAGTTGTGAATGAAAAAAAAAACTTAAAAAATATTGACAATAATTTTTACAGTAACAGGTTCATCATTATCATCACCAGTCACATGGCTGGGTGTGGTCATAGGGTCGTTGCGCATCTGACCAGATCTCTCTTATCTAGGTTGAAAGCCAGAGAGATATTCATTTATGCGTAGCATGTTTTGAGCAAGTAGACCTGGTGGTGACCATTGCCTCCCCAGTTGGAATACAGCTGACGTCTTCCAGCTTGAAAGCTCGTCTTTCTCACGGACTTCTGGACGTTGATTTCGTCGGAGGAACGCTTCGCCTTGGCCGTTTACTTCTGTGTAGACAGCCCTTCACCCAGTGACGCCGTGTCATCACTGCACTAGCTCCATACACAGCTATGGAGCCCAGTCTACCCCATTGGGCTATATGACCTATGACCCTCCAAGGTTTATCCGACCTTTGTCATATCTCTTTTAAGCAATGTTGGGTATCTATCCAACCTTCTCACCAGAAAAGCCTGATGGGAGAACCTGCTTAGTGACCAATAGCCCAACCATGAGGGTTACATGGAACCAGTAGCACTTGCAGAGTGACCTGAAATAAAAAATGATAGCCTTTTACATAAACGTATGAAGAGGTTTATATGCATATGGAAAATCATCATTATCATCATCATCATCATCGGTTGTCCTTTGAATCCGAAGATGACATATCGTTTCTGCATCTCATTTGTGAACTCGAAGGTCGCTCCGCAACCCCGGGATGGAGGCGCAAAGTCTGGAATATTGTCGTAATCACTGCTGACGCTGCCCTGTGGCGTTGATCTCTGGCAGCAGTGAGCTTTTGGCGTCGAGCATTCTCGAAGGTGATAGCAGCATCATGGATTGTGATTCGCCAACGTGGTCGATCACTGACGCGCTCCTCTAGTTCTTTGGGTTCTAGCTTGCATCCCTGGAGATTTGCTTTCACAGTGTCTTTGTACCGCTTCTTTGGACAGCCTTTGTTTCTCTTGACGTGCAGGAGCTCTCCGTACAGCAGATGTTTTGGCAAGTGATGCTCCTCCATGCGGATGACATGCCCTACCCATCGGAATTAGGTCTTAATGAGCATGGACTCAGTACTTGAGGAGTGAGCGCGATCAAGGACCTCAAGTTTGGTAACGCGGTCCTGCCAGCGAATTCTGAGTATGGAACGGGGAGCTTTCATGTGGAAGTTCTCCAGCTTCTTAGGGCATCTGCGGTACAGTGTCCAAAACTCACAACTATATAGAAGGGAGGGCAAAACCACTGCATTGTATCAAAAATACAAACCGTTATTTTCTGTATAATTTTGAAAATTCTAATGTAATGAAAGTCAATGTTACAGTGTGTATTGATTTTCCAAGTGTATCTTAGATGTGGCACAAGGCCGAAAGTATGGGGCACCCTGTGAGGATCGAACTCACTATTCAGTTGTAACTGTTTTAGCGAGACAAGCTTGCTAACTATTACACCACGCCGAGGTGCCCATGTTACAGTGTGTATTCATCTAAGCGAAGGTTCCTATATGAATTGTCTTTTTTTTTTAAATTTTAAATTGTCTCTAGTCGTAACGAAAATGTGTGTGGATATAATATTGCGTACAGAAAATATACTTACTTCACACATGCTGTTATTCTGTAGAATGTAGCTTTTCTGTCCATGTGGATCCCAGAATAATGATATAGATTCCTGAAGATTCAAACGTACACTAATAAACACTTCTTTCTGTTTCCTTTTTATCTTACAAAATAAGCCCCAGAAAAAAGAATTAGGAAATAGTTAACAATCTCTTTTATCTAAATTCTATCTGCATCTGATCGTCATTTCTAATTATAATCTATCGGAAAGGTCCATGAAGTACGTCGTAAATGACCAGTCTTCTGAAGCCGATGGGATTAATGTAGGCATTCCCCAAGGGCCTCTTCTTTCTACTCTTTCGGCATTATATTAACGATCTTCCCAGGAATATTCTCAAATCATTGACAAATACGCCACAGTTAATAGACACCGCCAAACATTGAAATGACCACAGCTTGACAGCTGATCTCTACTCTGACCTCGGCTTAAGTCACTTTCTCACCGCCGTAACAGATTCCTTGTTTCTCTTGTATAAATATTTTCTTGGTAATTGTTCTGATGAGCTTTTCTGTTTGGTACCTAAACTTTACGAATTTAAGCGCAGTCTTGGCGGTAAGGTCTCAACATTGTACATTTGAATTGGCTAAATTTAACCGTAAGTTCTTTTCTAACAGTTTCTTCTATCGCACTTCTCACTTGTGGAACTCCCTTCCGGCTTATCAATCAACTCGGACCTTGAAAAATTTAAATGCAATGCCAATTGTTATCTTCTGCCTTAATTCTGGTTCTTTTATTGTTCTCTCTCCTTAATAAGGTTTCCTTTTACTCCTATTTGTTTATCCCCATTATTCCCTGGCGTTTTAGTGGCTTTATTGTCTTGCATGGGGTGAAATGATAAATCCTTACCCTATTTCTATAATAACACTTTATTTTACTTTGATTGGAATAAGTGACAACTCCAGCATTTGAAGATTGTCCGCTTGACAAGATGCTAATATCTTATTACTGTCTAACATTTATTTGTAGACGAGACAATGGAAGAGCAAGAAGCCGCATTGCAATACACAAAGGGAAAATCATCTGAAGATGTAACTGCTTATTCTTCTAACTACAAGGCACACAAAAAAGGTATAAGCAAAGAGGAAATGGTAAATGCCTACACTGAATGGAGTAAAAATGGAAAATATGATGAAGTAAGTCTATTTTACTATTTATACTAATTTTAATAGTTTTAGGAAAAACATAATCGAAGAAACTTCATAAGATACGCTCTTTTTTTTCTTCTATTTCTTTTCTAAGAGGTAAGAAAAAATCGGACATCTGAAATTTGGCTTGTGTGTTAGAAAAGTGACTTTAAAAAATAGGTAACATTTATTTAAATTATTGTAATTTATTTAATATATCTTTAATTAATAAATTTAATTCATAATTATGAAATTAGTAATCTTAATAAATAAATGGCAAATTCCGTCCGCCTGAAACTCCTCTAACTCTGGCTACTATTGCTCTATATATATCTTTTTGGAATCGGAAAGATCTTGGGATTGAAGGAAAATCTGCTCTTCATGTGGTGCATGTCAGAACTGGGTTTTGTGTTCGGATGAGAAGGGAACATTTTAAAATAACTGAAAGAAATTAGTGATTTTAAATGTTATACGTTGAGTTTAAAATGACACAAAAAATTTGAATTTAATTTGTCTTTTTTTTTCCTTTTGCGTTAAATTCAGTTTAAAATACCCCAAACGTTTTGATTTGAGGTAATATTTTATTTCTTCAAAATGCCAAACAACAAGAGTTAGTGAGAGGCATCGTAACGTGAGGTTTTGAAATTCCAGAGTTTTGATTTGAAGAACACAATTTTCGGCCCAAATCTGTCTTGGGTGGAAGTGAGCTTATAGCCCGAATCATAGTTAAAGTGAGGCTTTGAAGTTTCATAGAGTGATTTGAAGAACTAAAATTTATTTCCGTCCTGGGTAAGACGATAAACTACGTCCGACAGCAAGGCCTCTGATCAAGAAGTTTTGAGGAGCGTGGAATCACCTCTTAATTGCTGGTGTTTCCAGGTACACTATGAGCCGGGGTGGTAGCACCAGTTAGGGTCCCGGCTATGGACAAATAGTTAACCCCTAAATTGGGATCAAAACACTATGAAAGTGTAAAAATAGGTTTTAATACCAGAAATACTTTTTTGTAAAAAATTATTACCAGTAATACATTATTACAAGCAATACATTTTTGAAAAAAAATATTACCAGCTATACATCTTTTGAAAAAAAAAATATTAGCAGCACTAGATTTTTGAAGAGAAAAAAAATATTACAAGCAATAAAAATTGTCGGCATTAAATAACCCATTGATGTTGATATGCGGTAAAACAAACCAAATCAAATTTATTTCTTTAAAATTATCATTGATGTTTTCTAAGCTGTACCAGTGACTTCTTTAGTTTGGGGCTGGAGACCTAATTAGCTCCTCCGCATAAAACATAAAAGTTTGCATGGAATGCGGATTTTAAGCTAGTATTTTAATAAAGTAAGAGACTTGAAGCAAAGAAATATAGTTTTACAGAAGGATGCTGAGAATACCATGGACCAGTTGTGAGCAACGAGCAAATTGAGAAAATGGAAACAAAAACGACTTAACATCAGAAAGGGACAGTTGAAATTTGTAAAGTATATAATGAAATACTAAGCTTGGATAACTTAATATCACGGGGCAGATTGAAGGCAAGATGGACAAAGGAAAACGCATAACCATCCTAGAAGTGCTTGAGTTAATGGGTGGTGGAACATGTTTAGGAGAGATCAGAAAAAGACATTTATCAAATGACAAAAAAATGTGGAGAGCCATGATCATCAACGTCCTCAAGCGATACAGAAGAAATGTTACTGATTACTGGTTGCTTCGACTTGAATTCACATCACAAATCAGTGTGATTTCTCCTCGTCAACAACTTCGTAAACCTAAACGAAAGTGCTGCGGGTTTTCCAAGCTTTTTAATGCTTTTGCAAGAATTGTTAGCATTTTATTGACAGTATTTTTTAATGTAGTTGTTCAGTGTGCATACTACAGTCTTCTGTGAATGTGACGTGGGGCCAAAGTTGGGACCACAGAATTAAAACACGAATTAGATGTAAGAAAGACATTAACAACAGGTTACAGAGATAGTGTCAGCAGAGCTTACTATGTCACTGTGTGACTCCCTAGAGTGATATGTCGCCTACTTAATATAGGCCTGGAAGAGTATTGTGTAGGTAGTTTCCGGTCTCACATTACCCCCCTTCCAAAGAGTTTTCTTTTTGAAAAGGAGAGAAAAAAAAAAAGACTTAATACTTTTTCCTCTTGGGATTTATGTCGAGCGGTTGCGTAAATTTCCTTTTCCTTCCTGAGCGTCGCACTTCAGGAGAGACTTGGGGCATGTCGAGATCGAACTAGAGATCTTGATGCGCGAGTTTATGTAAAATGCAAGCACCAATGCCGTACGAGCTTGCATCACTTGTGATTATGATGTCGAGACTAGGGTCGTAATGAGTGAGGGAGAGGTCTGAAGTAAGCGTTTTCTTGATTTTCTCGAATGCGTCTTGGCATTCCGGGGTCCATGACCATGGTTTGTCCTTTTTTAAAAGTTGGTTGAGAGGCCCTCTCAAATTTTGCATGTTCTAGCTAGGCCGCAGAAGCTTTGTAACGCTTGAACGTTATCTGGGGCCGGCATGTTTCTGATCGCGTTGGCTCGTATTTGATTGGACTTCTTTTTTTATTCTTGTACGTTTATTATATGGTTCCATGCTCTGCCGTGTTTTACTGGTTTATTGAGTTATCGTAGACCGTACCGTAGGTGCTGCCCACTCGCTGAAATCTGTTTTTGACAGAATACCTGCTTGTTCGAGTCTATCTAACTCTTTATTGATTTGCTCTAGAGCAGCGAAAGGGACATTCCGTTTCTTTTTGAATACCGGTTGTGCACCGTCCTTCACCTTGAACTTAGCTTTCATTTTAGTACATTTCCCAAGGCCGCCAGAAAAAACCTGGGGAAATTGTTGTTTGAGTTCCTTTTTTAGATTTACCAAATTGGACGTTGTACTTTGTATCTTGCGACAAAATGTACTCATTGGGCAATCCCAAAGATTGAATTTTTCTATCCAATCAGTTCCAAATAAGTTGTCTGAAGTTTTTAATACGTAGGCTTTGAGCTTTTTGGTAACTCCATTTAGTGTTACTGTAAGTATTACCTCGCCTAAAATGTTAATCTTTTTCGCCAGTTACGGATTTTGCTGTTTTATCCGTTTTTAATAAGGTCGGCTTGTTCAATTTTCGCCAAGTACGCCAGTTAATGGTTGAAATATCAGAACCCGAGTCAAGCTGGAATTTAATGGACTTATTGAAAATATCCACAGTTACATATTTTCTTAAATTCCTATCGACAATATCGTCAGATTGAGCTTGCCTAATTTTATTTTTGGGTTTTCTCGTTCTGTTGGCGTACCAGCACGAAGTTAAAGTATGACCACTTTTATTGCAATTTTTGCAATATTTTTTTGTTCTTAACTGGACAGAATTTTATCCAATGCCATTTACCACAATGGTAACATGGTCCGACCGGTTTCTTTAACTTATTTGGATTTTGGTTACTGCGTAATTTAGGACATGAGATTTGCCTTTTGTCTTTTTTTACTCAATAGGAGGTAGACTTACTTCTGATTTTATTAATCTGAGCCACACCTGATTCCTCGATAGTGTTTGAGTCACGCTTTACAGATATTACTCTTTGACAGTCCTCTGCCAGTTTTTGGAGAGTCAATCCTTGTTCGTTCTCAAGCTTGGTCAATACCCGTCGTCCGACTTCGGCGTCTTCTGCTGATACTAGACCTTGTGCGAAAATAAGCACTTGAAATCATCGACAGTCAGTTCGGCTAGTTTAAAATCATTACAGAGCTTGTTTACCGATGCTGCAAATGTTAGAAAATCTTGCTGGTTGTCTTTGACTGTGTTCAGACATTTCCAACGTTTGTGGAACAAGGTTGTGTTAGGCCCGAATAGTTCCGATAGGAGCTTAATAGTCTCTGAAAAATCCAAGTCAGTCGTTTTCTTGGGTAGTATGAAATCTACGAACCTACTATGTTCTGTAGTTCCCAGTTTTCTCAATAGAAGACGTACCTTCTTTTTACTGGACCATTGTTCACAGTCTACGTTGAAAATATCTTCGTAGCGCCTGTAAAAAGCTTCGAACGTTTTGTCGTTCTCTGGTACGTATTCAAAGGTTTCCATTGAATTGTAGATTATACTCTGGGAGAATATTGTATCTTTTTCAGAGTTTGAGCCTTTTAATGCATTTACGAGTAATTCTTTAAGTTGTTTCTGTTGTAGTTCAGCATTCTGAAGCGTAATTTTTGAATTCCATTTGTTGTTTATGTAATTCCAAAAATAGTTGTTGTCTTTCTTCTGATTTTTGTTGCTGATCCAAATTTAGTTTTTAACATTTGGGCAACTACTTTTTGCAAATCTTCCATTTAAAAAAAAAATGACAGCGCTTTTTTTTTTTTTTTTGAAACACGTGTACTAAGAGGAGGTACACAAAAAAATCTTTGATAGATTTTTGTTCCTTTTTTTTTTTTTTACAGAAAAAAAAATGGACAGACAATAGTTAAACTAAACTAATTATATGTTTTAGCTTTTTTTTTCCCCGTGGTTCCGTTAATTTTAACGTAATTGAATAATTTTTCACCACATATATATATATTTTTTTTTTTTTTTTTTTTTTAGAAAAGAAAAAACACCTCAGTGAATTTGAGGGAGAATAATTTTATGCCCGAGTTCAACTCAGTTACATAAAAAAAAATTTCGATAGTTTTTTTTCCGAAACTTGAGTACAATGGTAGTACATTCAGTATTGTTTTGTTTTACAACAACTGTTTTTTTTTTTGTGTGTGTGGGTGTGTAGAAATCGTTCTCGTGTTATTTGGACAGACTTTAATATTCCGTAGATGTCGAATCGCTAGTTCGTCAATGATGTTTGGTATTGGAATATATATAGACGCTGGGTGTTTAGCTTTTAAATCGCTAATGTAGTAATACCAGCTTAATTTCTCGTTCAACACTGCTGTGGGAACGCGTGGAGTTTTGTATTTTTTTCGAGTACTGTCGCTATTGATATGGTGAGAACGAAATTCTCGAATCTTTCTGTCGCCACTGTTGT